CCAGAGATGGAGCGTTTTTGGGGGCTCTCCAGGAGCTTCCCCCTCTGGGTACCAGATGGGGACGTGGGGCCGCCCAGCCCCTGGGCAGAGGCGAACAGGCCGCAGGCGGCGGGCGCGAGGTGTGTCCTGGCAGCGTGGTGGGAAGGAGCTCGGACAAGGCTCTGCACGCGGCGGTGTCGGGGCTGCACCGGCCGGGAGACCCCGTGCGCACCGAGAGGCCTGGCCTGGCTTCTGCAGGAGCGCGAGGAGCAGGATGAAGACGTGCAAGCAGATGGCCGTGCCCGGGTCGGCGGTGGGCGGGTGGGAGATGGTCTCCTTGCGCCAGGAGCACGCGGAGCCGGTTGGGATGGCGGGGACAGCAGCCAAGCCTGCCGTCTGCACGGCCAGCAAGGCTCAGGCGCCAGCCGGCCCCGCTTCAGGCCGCGGTCGCTCCTTGGCACGCTGGGCACCGTGGCCTGGCAGATGGCACGGAGCTGCTGCCTTGCCCCTTGCAGCGGGCACTGGCCTTTCGTGGGAGCATGATCTGGGGGCCAAGCTGCCCACCCCTCCCTCCATCCATGGATGCGTGCACCGGCTGCCAATTCCCGACAGACCCGCTGTGCCGAGCGCCTTGCGCCACGCGAGGCCTCTGCAGGTGGGACGGGGCTCTCCCATGCACACGGGGAGCCTCATCTTTGGGGTGCCCAGCCAGAGGCGTCTCCAGCGGGGGCCTGCTTGAGCCCCCTGCGTGCCTCGCTGCTTGGGGAGCGCTGGCCCCAGCCCCTGCAGCGCCTCCGTGCAGCACAGCCCTCGCAAGCCGATGCGTTGCCTCAAGGGCAGGTTTTGGGTGCTTGGCAATGGGGGGAGCACGATGCCACCCCGCTCGTGGCAGCGCGCTGAGGAAGGGGGTTTGAAGCAGGCATAAATAATTGAAAATGATATTGTGGCTGATCTCACTCCATTACTTTTAATAGAAATGACTCTGCGGCGGGCTGCACTGTTGCACTGATAACCTGCAGAAATAGGGAGCTGCGTCACAGCTCATTCACAGGATGGATGAGGTATGAAATGAGCTCCATGGTGGATAAACGCCTTGCAGATACGCCGGCGAGCGTGTTTATTCTGGAGGCTGAGCGGATAGCCGGCAATTTGCAGCTCCTGGCCTGTGGCCCAAAAGCAAAGGGCCAAGTGCAATTGCTCTTTGGATAACGTGCGCGTGGCTGGCTGAATAATGTGGAAACAGCTGGAGAGCAGGAGCCTGGACAGGACGCTAAGGGCGAAGGGCTGCTCTCCGGGAAGGGGCAGCCTCTTCGAGCGGTCAGCGGCGGGGCACGCTGGTGGGCTGGGAGCGGAGCACAGGTGTCTCGCCGGTCCGGGCTAGCACTGGATGTTGTACGCTCCCTCCTGGGGAACGCAGCGGGGCGGCTCTTGCTTTGAAGAGAGCTGCTGTTTGCTGGCTAGATTTGGTCTCCGCTCACGAGGCGTTTTGCTGCCTTTGGAGCAGCTGCAGGGCCCGCGGCCGCTTCGCTGCTAAGCTTTGCCGCGTGGGGACCGAGCAGAGAGGAAGCTGCCTCCCCAGGGAGCAGGGACGGGCAAAGGGGGTGTTTTGGGGAACAGAAGAGCACAACGGGGCTGAGGCGCCTCTGGTTGCTGGACCTGGCGAGAGGCTCGGGGCTGCCACCTGTGAGCCTGGTGTCCCGCAAACATCCCTGCTCTCCACGACGAGCACCTTGGCTTCTGCGGCAAGGTGACGGGCCCAGCTGCGGGTCCTGGCTTCTCGCGGTGGCTCCGACTGCCCCCTGCCCTGCAGGGAGATAGGCTCCAGGCCTGGTGCAAAGACGGGACTTCGAAGCAGCGAGCACCTGATACGAGCAGGCACGAGACCTCCCGGAGAGCAGCTCCCGCCTTCCGGAGACTGTCAGTGAAAAGCCCGAGGCCTGCAGCCGCCTGGCAGACAGGCACGAAGAGCACGGCGCCTCCAAGCCCAGCCGCCCGGCCCGTGCCCGGCAGCCGTGCTGACAGGTGCCGCCTGCCGCCTACAGCGCTGGCTGCAATTAGCAGCAGAGCCTCCCCCGGCCCTTCCACGCGAGCGACGCCGGACAAGGACAAATGGCTTCGGCCCCAGCCACCTGCCTCGCGCCCCAGCAGCCAGACGCAGACGCAGATGCAGCTCCCCTCTGCTCCGGAGCCCGACTGGGAGGCCGGTCCTGGCCTGGGAGCTGCAGGCAGAGCGGGGTCATGCCCACCCCGGCTGCTGCTCCCAGCTGCCCCCTTCCAGCCACCCGAACGCTGCGGCAGTGCAGGCTCGTTAAAGCTGTCTGCGCTAGCGATGCTAAAGTGGAGCCTGGCGCGGGGGGAGGGAGAAGGAAGGGGGGCTGCACATCTCTCGGCTGCTCGTTACACGCGCCGACACTTCCCGAGAGAGCGCGCGTGCCTGGAATGACAGCCGCGATGCAGTGCGGTGCCAGCCCTGCCCCAGGTACAGCTGGGGGACGAGGGCCCTGCCGGGATCCAGCCATGGCGAGGCCAGGGAGGAGGTGTTCATGCACCTGTGGGGGCCCAGGCAGAGGCTGAGCCCTGCTGCAGAGGAAGGCACGAGCCCCTCCAGCCTCTGCCCGTCTGACCAGGAGGCGACGCTCCTTCCAGCTCCTCCAGTGCGACTGGGCTGAGCCGGAGCGGAGGGTAAAACCTCTCGAGCCAGGTCCGAGTCCAGTCAACGCCCGACATCCAGCGCTGCAGAGGAATCCGCCCCGACAGCTGTGGGAGGGGGGAAAATATGCCCTCCTCCCAAGCCCAGACAGCTGGGAGAAGCAGCCCGCTCCACTCCACGCAACGACCTGGGCCCCGCAAGCATCAGCCCAGAGCCAGACCCTGGGAGAAGCCTCAGAGCCGTGCCCCGTCCTGTCGGAGCCCAGCTGATGACCCCCCCCAGGCCAAGGGGCTCAACCTGCCCCTCTCCCAGGACGCCCCTCCACAGGCCTCGCTGGGGTTCAGTAAGTCAGGGAGAGACGCTGCGTGGAGCCGAGCGAGCAATTATTGGAGGGGAGTTGGCGCCAGATCGGTCCCGAGTCGGGTGCCCCGGGGGCGAGGGGGAACCATCCTGGGCTCCAGCCTGCAGCAGAGGCTCCGGGCCAGCTCAGCACTGCCCTCGGGACACCAGCGCACAGGAATACAAGGAGGCTGGGTGTTCCCACTGGACATGCTTGACGCATGCGGAGAAATGGTGGAACCAAGCGCTTACAGCCAGCTTCGGGCTCAGATGTGCCCCCCACACTAACAGGCTAGAACCGCAGCTCAGCTCTAACCCAGCTACGGCTTACGCCCACGGGCAGGAGCCAGTAGCGTTCAGCAAAGCCAAGTGAAACCGAAACAGTCCCGTCCCGAGGCTTAAACAGTTATCGGAGGGTGCCACCTGCCGCCCAGACCGAGGGAAACGGCCCAAACTCAAGCCACACGATTCTTGTCTGGACTGACCACACGGCCCGGCTCATGGTGCCGTTTCTGTACTGACGGTTGGCGTTAACGTTACTGTTTGCCCACGTCACATTTTGAGGACAGCCCTGTAGTTAAAACAGGCGTTCCAGTGCAGCCTAGAGACAATTCATTGCTGGCCTGAGGTAGAGAAAAAAAAACTGTACTGGGCTGTGCACATCCTTTCATCACATCTGTTGAAGCCAGCTCAGGCTCACAAAAACTCACGTTATGCACCTCTGATGCTGTTGGTCTGTAAGGTACAAATCTACCCTGCCTTCTGGCTGCAGTAGAAAAGTCAGCTTGCACTACGACATTCACTTATCTTTCAGTTTAAGACTGAGATTGTCTTACTGGAGCAGAAAGGGGGTTTGCAATGGCATTTCATACATGGGAGGATTGTCATATGCGAATTAGAAAGCAAACGTCTATGAAAGGATAGGTGACTTCTGACTCCCTTTTTATACATACTGTTGGGTCAGGTGATAAGACTGCTCTGAGCAGCCATGCAGCTTAGAGGCAGGGATCTCACCGACTGCACCGCTGCCACACAACCGTAGTGCACGGTATTCACTTGGATTAGCACACTAGACTGTAAGCAGATGTGTCTGCTGCATCTAGTTCTCTCAGAGGTAGAAGCAGCAGTGAGCAGGGACATTGTCATAGATCGCTCTCTCTCAAGAAGAGATTGAATCTGCTATTAACTGGCACTTCTCCAAAGTGGAGTTTTGAACACTGACAGGGTGACAGTTAATTTCATTTTTCCTTTAAGTGAACTCATGGGCCCTTGTCGCTATGTTGCTTTCAGCAGGGAAGAGAACAAGGGATGTGAAGCAGAGGGGGGTGAGGAAAGAGTTTCAAATGCAAACTAATCCCATGGAAACGGGATTTTGTGATTTCACTGAAAGTTGTTTGCAAGCCCTTCCTACAAACATCTCCATTCGCATCAGAGAAAAGGATGACTCTTCACACGGCCCCACGAGGATCACGACTGCACAGCTGCACTTTAAAACTCCTTGACTGCGGGTTTCGGATCACAGGGTGAATCTTGCAGTTACCCTTAGAGCAATGACATGGGGAGTTTTCCCATACACCACTGGCTGCAGCCTGGAAAACAGGACTCCAGCTACAGCCATTGCTCCAAGGACACGGACTGTTTTATGCCTCCACCAATTTCTGGCGGCTTCACACGCTGAACTATAAGACTTTGCTCTCGCTGATCATCTGCAATATCATCACTTCCCGGCTGTTCACGGGAGAGCAGACACCACCCCCTTAAGCCCAGAGGCCTTGCCAGGTAAGAAGAGCAATTCAGTAGTGCTGCTGCTCTCTTTGACCATAGCTCTTATATTTGGCTGAGAAGTCACACGACAGCCAGCGTCCCTTATTGATCAAGCCCCTGTAGGATAATAGAACAGCTGTACCCACCTCACGTGTCCTTCTGCAGTCCCTGGACAAAGAAAGAGAAGCCGAGAAATAGCTCTCATCAAAAATGAGAAACTTTTTTATTACTTATAAAAAAAAGAGGTAAGTCATGTACTCGGAGTGCATGACAGCAGAAGTTAAAAACAGGTTTTCTACCTGCGTAAGCAGGTGGAAGGGGAAAAATCAATATATAGAATCTGTAGTCCTCGATTTGTCATCTCTGATTTACGCGAGAGATGAAAAATCCAAAGTCAAAATCTTTAGATCTTTGTACTGCCACATACTTGTGCAAGGCGAACCTAGAGAGACACACAGAGAGGTTAACAAATGCTGCTGGGAAAGGATGGATGCTGCTGCATGGCAAAAGCAGAAGGCCCATTTACCCCTGAGAATTAAGGACCTGAACATTAACAGGCACTCTTGTGCACGTGCACACACTATTCAGCCAAAAAGACTGGCTGTTGCACAAAACCTGGTTTAGCCCATGGGCCAGGAGTCAGATGGACCCAAGGAGGGAAGCATTTAAGGACAAAGATCCTGTAAGAGACACAGACAGGCCACAACCCTGCCGGGCACCACTGCTGAGGGGCTATAATTCACAGCTGAAGGGGTACAGACTTACCGATAAGTTCTTCATAACTCCCAGTGCCTCCGGATTCAGTTGATGAAGATTCCTTTTGGTCAGCTCACTGGCTGTAAAACGGAGAGCCTGTGCCAAAAAGATCACAAGTCTCCGTTAGTTTGCGACAGGTCACAACAGCTATGGCATGCTATGCTTCCACCCACGTCTGGAGAGCAAAGAAAAAAAGGAAGCGGATGGCTTTTAGGACATGTGGCAGGCCATCACAGTAATGGGGGAAGAAACGTGCTGCTCTGTGGACCGGGAGCAGCATTTTGTACGCTGCAAAATCCACTCCACTAGTTCCTTCTGTTTTCAGCAGCCTGCTAGTTTACCTCTCCTCCTCTGAGGGGGACTGTTATGATGACATCGTTGGCGTTGGCAAGAGGGCTGCCGTTTTTGGAGACGATGAAAACCGGTTCGTTTACTGCGGGGGTGCGCAGGCCTGGCGTCTTGAAAATTCTGAAAGACAGTCCAAAACGTATGGCTGAATAAATCCACTACAGCCAATGAAAAAGATCAGAAATGAGGTTTGCAGGCGGAGATTTCAAGCAACTCATTCCTGGAGAAAACAGACCGAAGGGAGTGGGGGGCGGGGGAAGAAAAGAAAAAAAACTGGCGTAAATTGAAGTGTCAAACCAGTACAGAACTTGGCAGAAACCAGCTGTCGTGGCAGAGAGCAGCAATTATTCTAAGATGCAATTTAGCTACAATCATTTCTCATCCACCTGGACTCATGACATGCACTAGAAGGGCCTGCCAGGAGCCTAGCCTTCGTTTTAGGACATCTACGTTCTCAGTGACCACATATTTCCTTTACAAGAGTATGAAATACACACTTGAGATTTGAGTAACAGGAGGAGGCAGCTTGCTGCATAAGGCCCTTCGAGAAGAAAGGCATTATATCATATAAGGATTTACCTTATCCCCTTTTCCTAGTTATGACACTTTGGAACACACCAAATTTGTTTTGCTTAAACGTGGGTCTGCGCAGGTAACTTGCATTCTCTGGCCCAAATTAAACCGTTCTAGGCTCTCCATGTCAATTCCTGATCTATACCAAGGACTGCGGAAAGAAGCAGGAGGTATCATTTGAGCCAATGGTCTGGGAAGACCTGAACATGTTGAGCAGAAGTTCAGACAAGTAGGAGAAAGGAAAGGGTGGGGGGAGGGTGCCGAAGGGGGAGAGGAATCATCACCTTGCCCACTGTAAAGTATAAGCCTGAACATAGCAGAGTGTGGGAGTTATGAAGTCTCCATTTTTAATTCTTACCCCTGGGTACGGACTCCCCCTGACACTAGTCAAATAAGCTCACTTCTTTGGCTCCAGGATCCCACCCCGTTCTGCAAAGTGCAGACAGTACTGCAGTACGAGCCCTTATGGGAGTGGGGGGGGGAGATCATGGAGCCTAGCACTGCAATACTGGTATATGCTAATTGCTCTATTATATCAAGGGATCTGAAGTCGCTGCTGCAGAGTAGTGTTGCCCAAGAGCAACAAATTGATGCATATAGAAGCAGGTGGGACAGGACTGTGCAGAACAGATAGCAAGGCAATCTTTCACAGCAGGTATGAAAAAAAAAAGAGGGGTAAATAGTTCTGCTGATAAAATGGACATTCACCTGGAATCAAACCTGGAAAGGACCGCAGAGGTACTGCCCTGCGTGCAGGCATCCAATGCTCGGCCAACAGCTGGAGTGGAATAATTACTTTTGCTTGTCCTGTGCAAGAGGTGACATTAGTGAGGAAATGCTCCTTTGAAGAGTGATCGTTTTGCAGGTTTTAGAGGCCTGAATGATGGAGGTCTTTGGAAAAACAAAGGGCCCTCTGCCTCCCAACACAGGAGCCAGAAGATAATGAAAGCTTTGCAAATACAAAGAGAAGTACTTCACCACCCAGGAGACTGTGCTCCAAGGAACGCCTCCACTTGCTACTCCCAGGGCATGGCACATCTGTGCCAGCCGCATCAGCCCCTGCTCCTTCCCACCTGCCAGTGCACTGGCAACAGGACCTTCTGGTCTCTCCTCCCCCTACCAACAGTACTCCCTTGTTACCGTTTATTAGCAGCTTTTACTTTCGCTGAAGGACACCTTCTGCTCCTAGATGGAGGCCTTTTGGCTGCTGCCTTTGCCTGAAACATGAGCCAGTGAATTATTTACTATTTTGGGACCTAGCCACAATTCATGGAAGTATAGAAGAATAGGGCTGGAAGGACCTCCTCTTCCAAGCGTCACCATAACTAAACCAACTTTGACAGCGAGAGCTAAAAAAAACAAACTCACGGGGTGCGTCTACACGAGATGCTTTACTGTGGAGCTGACCAATTAGCCCCGCAGTAAAGCGTCAGCGTTTACACATGCGGTGCTATTAGGCCAGAGTAAATTAAAACGAACTCTGCTGTAGGACAGTACTGCCCAAAACAAGTACTACCCTACGGTGGAGTTCAGTCTGCTGCAACACGCGTGCAGAAGCTGACCTGGCTGGCTGGGGCATGAGGGTGTTTCAGTGCAGGGGCTGCCTGCCAGCTAGCCCCACTGGAGCACCCTTGTGCTCCAGCCAGCTCCTCTGCAGCACGTTGAGTTGGGGGGGAGTAGCCCCGGGCTGGCAGGCTGACCCCCCGGACTCTCTGCCAGCTGGGGCTGCTCCACCCTGGTTCAAAGTGCTGCGGCCCCAGGCGCTCATGCAAACATGGTGCCTGGGAGTAATAAGCTCCAGTGCAAACGGTGCTGCAGTTTATTGCTCTGCCCCAATTGCACGTGTAGACGCCTACTGTCCCCTTCTCAGCCAGGGAAACTGTAAAAAGAGACATTTCCCCGTAGAGGCTTTATCATAGCCTAGAGCTAAGACGTGGAGAATCTCAACATTAGGGCTTGTATTTTGATCTTTGCTAAAGGCGCTTGCACCCTGCATAAGCCTGAACATTGTAACCGAGAGAAGAAACAGGCTACAAAATGTTTCCCTGCATTGTCAAAACTTAATGAGTACTAGGTATCACCTATTTCAAGTTACCCTGAGGCTGGTTCTGTGTTTGCTTTCCCAAACAAACTAGGACAGCTGACTGCAGACAGCATTGTCAGTTGCACAAGGAAAAAAAAAAGAGTCTCTCAAATGTTACTAATACAACAGAGAACATTTTCACAGACATGCTTTAAAATCCCATCCTGGAAAGACCTATAGCTTACCGATTCCATATTTTTGCAAAATAAAAAAAGCTCCGTGCAGTGTCACAAGTGGAAGTGGGCGTTTGTTATTTAAGCAGAACAGGGGTATTCTGTTGTGAGCAGTACTAGGCAAGTCTACAAGCATTATCCCAATCACTATTCAGTGCTTTTTTGACTGGGCTTTTGCCAAAATAAAAATCAGCCGCTTACCTTTTCAGTCCTTGGCTGGGTATTTTCAGACTTTGGCTCTTCAAGGGCTTGGCTCTCCTGCCTGCTTTTCTTTGAAGCAGGGAGCAAACAGAACTCGGTTTCTTCAAAAGCTCCAATGTCTTTTTTGGATTTTCCAGCTAGAAAGAAAAGAAAAACGTCCATATTAGACGGAGGTGCGTTTGCATGTAAATCAACGGCAATTCAAATGACTAATGATTCTTCTTCACTGAGCTGTTCATTTGTGGACATTTTGGGGGGCAGTTATTGAGAACATTGTAGAAGGACAGATGGGATTTCAGAAGGAAAGATGGCATATCGAAGGCTCAGATAAGTGCAGAGAATGCTTCTGAAAGATATAGCAAACCTAAGAAGAGACTCCCCAGATATAAAACCACCACATCATCTGGAAATACAGTGTCTTTTCATCCTAGTTTGGGCAGTGAATCAGAGGTGAAATACAGCTAATAAGACCAGTAAGCAAAAGCGCAGTCACGCAGCCCGTGCGTCTGACCGCACACAGGACCACCTAACAACCCTTACAAACAAACTGACCTTTCTTGATCGTTTTGAAAGGCGTCTGGATGACTTTTGCTGTTATTTTGTTTATTTCTGATATTTCCACATCTGCCTAAAACCAGAAAGAAATCACAACCAGAGATATGTTATTGCTGAAACCAAATGCACTCATACTTTTAATAGTTTACAAGACTACAGCATAAATCCCAAATTGCTTTTAAAACAAAGGTTCATCTGGGTTTCTTGGCACTTGGCTGTATTCATGTACGGGGCTTTTACAGCATGTTAGGAAAGACAGCAGCTGGCAGGACCTGCCTGCTATCTAGTCCCAGAGCTTTATTTCAGCTTTCCCAGTCACCCGCCTCATGCCAACCCAAGCCCAAACTGGAGTGTTTTTTGGACTGTATAAGTATATGATCTCTGGTGGCTCAATGGCAGAGACCAGAGACTGCTCGGCCCTCTGTCTGGGCGCACTGCTGATACACAGGCTGGGAAAAAAAGGCTTCCCGTAAAGCAAGATTACTAAAAAAGAAATGAAGACATCAGGTAATATGGACGCTAAGGGAGAGATCTCAGAACACTGCCTTTCCTGGTCCTCTTTGAAAAGGTCAATGGTTTTATTAAACCCACCGTTTAATAAACCCTCTACTTGAGCTAGTGCCAACTTTTGGAAACATAAGGATTGGTGGCTGACAAGAGGCGACCTGCAACACGCCCTTAGGACACGGGTGGGTGTCTTGCCAAAATGCTTACTGCGTTTTGGCAAGCCATCGAGGGCCGCATGACAAGCAGCCAGGGGCAGACAACTATTCATTTTCTAAATTTTTTAGAGGCCCCGCGGGCTGGATAACACGTCCTGGCGGGCTGCATTTTGCCAACCCCTGCCTTAGGATAACCGAGCACGTCAGATGCAGCAAATGTCTTCCGAGGGGTTTGCATTAAGTGAAAACAGTGAGGCAAGTTTCCTGCTTACCGTTGCTGCCTCTTCTAGGGCTTTTTTACTTCCTCCTTTAGCTAGAAAGAGAACATTTATCTTCATAAATAGGTGAACTAGAGACATTTGCGCCGGATGCTAGTTAAATATTAAAGCATACGTTTTAAAAGCAAGCAACACGCAGCCGAAGAGGAAGAGGGCCGGCAGGCACGGAGCAGCCTACGGCACAAACCGCAACGCCCCGGCCTCGCAGTTTCCCGTCGAGGCGATTCAGGAAGGATGCCCTGGCTGGAGAACATGGGGACGAGAAGACGACGTGATTTTTCACTGCTTCGCCCCAATGCCAGCCTTCACCGACCGGCACGTTTAAGGCAGCCAAAAGCCAACGCATTTTGGAACAAGAAGCATTTAGGTGAAAATCAAAACGAACGATCCCGTGCGACACAGCAAGATCTCACGCGTGCTGCGGCACAGGAGACCACGCCGTACGCGGGAGGCCTTAATTTAGCCCCACGTTACGTGTCAGTATTCGGGTATCCAGCTCGTAGCTGGATTGGTCCCGAAAAAAAAAGAAATCGGGGCTCACGGTAGAGATGATCTCTCTCATTAGACCAACTAGATTAAAAAAAATAAATCTTTAATCGCAGCTTTCGGGCGCAAACGCCCTCCAAACCCGGAAACTTGCAATTAAAGATGGGTTTTTTGCAAAACCCGTGCTGGTCTAAGGAAAGAGATCACCGCTACCAGGAGCCTGGGCTACGCGCCCGCCGACGCCATCCGCCCCCCACGGCCCCGGCCCCGGCCCGCGCCCTACCGCAGCAGCCGAGCCAGTTCATCTCTCGCAGCGCGA